AGGACCTGCTTTCATGACATCTCCTTATGTTGACCTGTCTTTTCATGCATGCAAAATCCCATTTACAGTTTCCCACGAGCAAGCTTCACTCTATTTAACCTTTCCCTTAAATCCAATGCATGCAAGGACTCCTCTCTCTGGGTTTACACAACACGTTTCCATCCTCTCTTTGACTAAGAATAGATTTGGAAACAGCAATGAGTCTAATGGCTAAAAATCTGAAGGGAATATTTCTTGAAACTAAAAAGCATTTCTTGAAACTAAAGCATAAGAAGTCCTACTGAATAAACAAAAAGATGATGCACCAGGAAGATAATTGATTGTATAACAATAGCTACAGTAGGGCAATGTACATGACGGTAGCATGGGGGTAGAAGAACCACCCAGCTCGTCCACCTTTTACATGCTGCACCTAGCCAGACCAGTTTTTGTTGCGTAATAATGGTGACTGAGGCATGTCTCTCCAACGTTTAGACTTCAGCTGGCAGGCTGCAAACTACTTCTGCTCCTATTTTAGAGCACCAAAACAAGCTCTGTGCTCAAGCTCTGCTTATACCGCTGGAAACATGATACGACGCAGGCATCCTTGACATTAGAGCAAAACCCGAGCATATCTGTGAGCAGTATTTGTGAATGTTCCTGGGTCACTGGGGAAACAAGAAAAACACCATTAAGTGTGAAGCTTCAGATTAGGTTGCGAGCTTAGAAGGAATCAGGTCTGTGCACTTTGCTTTTAAAATGTACAAAAACAAACCAGCAAATTGTGCAATAGACTTGCAGGTTTTCTTTCTTATTGTTAATTTACAACCAGGCTCCCAACATTCATCTAAGCTGCAGGGGTGAACTCGTTAGCTCAGAGGCTTTGAACCACAGGGTCCGGCGTTTTCAGAAATGATAAGAAAGCAAGATTGCACATTGCTTTTTAAACACCGACTCCCACGTTCCTGGTTTTTGGATGCTTTCAACATTTCAGTTTATTACTCAAGACTGGCATGCTGATCAGCATCAAATTGTGCTGACTCAAAACAGTGCCTGTCCAGATTTCAGGAGAAATTTCTCCTTTACACAGATTGTGACAGCTCCATTTCTGACAATACAAGCTGATTTAAAAGAAAAATACAATACAAAGACAGAGATCTGCCAAAAAATCCCAAAAAGTGTTTTAACCTCAGACAATCGTTTAACTTTTACACAAACAGTAGAAGGAAGCACATGTATACCTGTTAAAATTTGATAATTTTTACCCGATGACCTTTAAAGGTCAAATAATCAGGAACCACAGTTAACCTGTAAGTGATTTAATCTCAGTATAAATACAACTGGTATGGGAAGAAGATCTCCCAGTGAAGCAGGCGAAAGTTCAAGATAAAGAGGGTTGAAAAAGATGCATGGCTCAGGGTGGAGAATCTGCTAGCAGGACAGGCATTTTTTGTGCCGTCTATAAATCCAACTTTGAGAGATAATCAAGAAGAAAGCAATTATCAGAAGAAAGTCAAACAATTCAAATTTCAGTTTGCCATAAGACAAACAAAAGTTCAAATATGTTGAACATCTCATCTGAACAGATGAGACCAGAATTTAACTTTTTTTTTTTTTTTTTGCAGTACAAGCAAACCCCAATGCAAAGCATAAAAAACAGCTCCCATGATTTCTTTCAAAAGGGGGTAGGACATAAAGTTGATGGGAAGATGGATGCAGTTTAATACATTTTAGAGGCTCCGAAACACCTCTGATGAGACCAAAGTGTGTTCAAATGCCCCAGTCAAAGTGCAGACATAAATCAAATCAACAACCTGGGGAATAACTTCATATGGTTAACTTTAAAACTCATCATCTAGAGACATAAAATTAGTACAAAGTATTTCCGTTTTTAAACGGTTTTAAAACTTCTTTCATTTTCCTTCCAGCTTTTAATTAGAGACCACATTAAGTTGGGCTGTTACATTACAGCCCACTTAAGGACAAAACATGGAAAAGGTTAAAGGGCTTTCATTTCTTAAGCTGATGCTTATGTTGCTACTTAGAGCCCAAAATGCAGCGAAGCTCTAAAAGAAAACCTGATGACCTACATTTAGTGTTTTCTGCAACACATGAAGTGATCCCAAAATGAGAAGTGAAACCTTTGATGTCTCAAATGCATCTGTCAAACAGAACAGTTTAATTGGCATCATGAATAAATAATATAGATCTCAGTTAGCCTTCACTGACACCAATATCCCATAAGGAGCTGTATAATCTGGCATCTTAGTGTTGTGATGAATTACATCTAGCGTTTTATCAACACAAAAAAGGGAAGTTACATTCAACAACTAAAAGTATCAGAAAACCTAATATAAATGACAACTAGGGTTTTGTTTGTTTGTTTAAACCCATCGTGAAAATCCAAGCTAATACTATAAAGTTTCGGCACTCAAATCAAAAAAGATCTTCTAAAAAAATGTAACTAAATAAATATGAAGCAAATGAAGCCTATTTTTGTTTGAGGAGATAAAAGCATTGCTTTGAAATGGAAGAAACCAAATACATTGGTTGTTATGCTGTTTTTACTACTATTATGTTTTTTTTTTTTGTATTCCAGCCAATACTTTGGGTCATTTGTGCATTTTGTTTCTATATTGTGGGTCAGAAACCAAAACATTTGGGAATCTCTGCCATAAAGAACTTTCTGAAAGCCCATATTTACTAGTGTGACCTTTGTTGACTTCCAGAGCCTATAGAGTGATCCCTGAATAAAATTAGAGAATGGATTAACTGCCCCATATCATCCCCACCAACCATGGCCTAAATACTCCATGCTAGGATAAACATGTCTGGACTAAAAGCTAGAATTATACTTTGTTTATGTGAGATTAAAAGGCAAGACTATCATCCACTGATAAACCAAACTTCCTGGCAATATGTTTGGAATATACATAAACTCATGAATGTGTCCAAGTTTTATTTTATGCTAAAAACATTGTTATAAACTATGTCTATTACATTATTTATTACACAACCCTTCCCCTGGTTCAGTAGAGGGTCACATAGAGGGGACGGCACCAACACATGGGAGAAAAAAAAGTCAGTTGGTTTCCATCCAACAACAATCAATTGCTTTTTGCATGTTTATTCAACAGAGATAGATAAAATACAAAATTGAACCATTGTCGAGGCTGAGTAAAGACTCTCATTCACCATTCACAGATTTTCATTTGTTGCCGAAATACGGGGTTATTTTACCATTTAGTGACTTTGGACAGCACTCCATCATAATGAAAGACACTTTCCCTGGTCTCACAATCTACACAAAATAGAGATCATTGTTTTATGAACACTTTGATATTAATGAAGCAATCACTCTTGTCAAAAGCAAACAAAACTTAAACAAGTGATTTCTAAATGGCGTCTACTTATTTTATGGCCTAAGCAACTCAAATGTCAGTTTACACTTTAGATTGAAATGGTTTTTGTTTCTATCAGTTATTCACTTGTGATCTTTGATCATAATTGCAATTTTTATTATTACAATTATTATTGTTATCCTAACATTATCATTATTTAGCCCAAAAATGCACTTTTTGTAATCATTGGTTTTATTACTGTATATTCCATCCATCCATTTTCCATCACCCTTATCCCAGCTGGGCTCAGAAGGTGTGCTGGTGCCTATCTCCGGCTGTCCACGAGCGAGAGACACCTTGAACAGGTCACCAGTCATTGCAGGGCAACGCCGAGACAAACACACAATGCACCTAAGGAGATTTTAGAGAAGCTAATTAACAGTCATGTTTTTGGACTGTTGGCGGTAGCTGGGGTACCCGGAGAGAACCCATGCATGCAGAGGGAGAACAGGCAAACTCCATGCAGAAAGACCTCGGGCCAGGAGTTGAACCCAGAACCTTCTTGCTGCAAGGCAGCCATGCTACCCACTGCGTCACTGAGCAGCCCTCTAACTTTATGCAATAAAGAATTCTACAACCCTCTAAAACTGAGAGTTTCAACTTTTGTTACAGAAATATACTCATATGTAAGATCCACTTACACAACAATGCACAAAACAACTTCTGGGCGACAGCACAATTTCAACATTTAAACCAGTCGTCCAGACTAGTGGACTGCCTATGAATGCAACTACAACATCAATAAAACAAAATCAACACAGGCAAGCTCCATGCAGAAATACCCTAGGCCGGGAATCGAACCCCGAACCTTCTTGCTGCAAGGCAGCAGTGCTACCCACTGAGCAGCCATAATACATAATGACAAGAGGAAAAAAAAAACTTGTAAAGGATTTGAACTTTCGAGTGTTTCTGGGGGACTTTTAGACTTTATTTGGGGTCTTTGAAAAATGTTTAATGTTTGTTTAAGGGTAAATAATAGGATTTATTCCCTTACTGGGAGACCGGGCCCAAAGCATGAATGAACTAAGCCACATTTTGCAAACTCAAAAAAACAGGAGCTTCCAATAATTGCTTAAATATTAGCACAGAGGACTAATCCAAAGTTTTATATTTGTTTATTAAAAATCACAACGACAAATAATTTTTGGATTTTGCCATTTCAGCACAGATTATCAAGATATAAGATCTACAGATATGTGCAAATCTACTTTGTGCAAAGAAGGAAGTTTATTTGTTGTGTTAACATGGTATCTGATGCAATGAGTTTAACCTTGTCTTTGTGTCTGACCTCAGTTTTATGAATACATCTTATCAAATATAATCAAATCAAGTGTGATTGCATTAAAGTCCAGCAAACTAAATTACCCAGATTTAAGCAAAATTTCTTGAATGCTGCTAGTTGTGGAGAGGGAACCCAAATCTAACCCTGCAACAAGGACCCAAAAATCAAACTTTCTGTTAGTCTTGATTAAGATAATAAAATAACTTGTGGGGGGAAACTTGATAAAATAATTATGCCCAGACACAACCTTTACCCTCAATAAAGTTTGCTAAACTGTGGAGGTGCACATGGAGGGGCTTTCCATTCATTGGAGGGTCGCCAATGGCTTGGATGCATACCTGGTTGGGGTCGCAGGCCTTGAAGACGTGACAGGACATCTCGGACTCCGGGTTGTCCGGCTGGCCCCGCAGCAGATAGGAAAAACAAGTGAGGTCATTGCTGTTATGGATGAACCGAGAGATCAGCTGAGCTTTGTGCTCGAATATGAAAACAGAGGAGTTGCTGCTGTTGGAAGGGACGCAGCGAACGAAGGGGCGGTTGAGCAGCAGCTGAACTTCTCTGGGCTGCATGACGGGGCCGCAGTCGCCCCTCTCGCCCCTCCGGCGGATCTCAGCCACCAGCCACGGCAGCATGGGCAAGGTGGTCCTCCTGTCCAGCGAGCACCAGCCGACATAAGTCAGGGCGAAGCGTTTGTCCGTCCTGCTCTCCTTCTCCTCCTGGTTCTCCATGTTCACCCTGCACACTCTTCCCTTCAAAACAAGCAAACAGCGACGCGGACCTAAAAGCGCTTTCTAACCATTCCCTGCAGCCCGGAGTTCTGATCACTTTGAAAATGTTTCCATTTTCACACCCACACGCTAATATAACCAGGCGCTTAGCTGCACGCACAACATGTGCCTTCAACTGCAATCCTCCATGTTATCCAAAAGCGCACCCGATGCGCGGCTCCTCCTCAGAGGGAGTTAAACTAATTGTTTATGAGGCGCTGCTCCAGTCAGATGAAGTCTGCGCTGCATGCTGGGCTCCCAAAACGTGGCTTTGGATGGTTCCTGTGTAAACACAAGGCGCTTTACAGAACCTGGTTTTCTGACGCGTCCCTTTAGAGCGCGCGGATCGCGGCTAATTTACACAATCTAGATCCTAAAAATCCACGCACACTGTTTTGCGTGGCTGTATTTGGTCCTATCAATATGATCGACACATTGATATCGTCTTTATGAACAATCCCTTGACTGTGATCCTTTCTTCCACAACGCCTTGGAGGCGGAGCGGCTGTGAGCGCTAGAGCACCTCCCAGCTGTCCCATGTGCTGGAGAAGCGGGCGGCTGTATGGCAGACCATTGTAGGATATACTCAGAACACGCTCCTGATTGAAATAAGCTTAAGTTTATAAAGTCTCCTTGTTGAAATATAATTCTCAAATATTAAAATTAAAATATTCATTTTATTTTCCTTGCCTTGTAAAAAAAAGGGTTTAAAAATATTAATATATCATTTAAAAAAAAGCTTGTTTCTTTAAAAAGCTGTAGTTATTGTTGGAATGTTTACAGTGATCTGCTAGGAAAATGTCCACCAGTTGCATTTGAAAATAAATGATTTTATCTAAAAGAAGTTTCAAATAATATCGGGCATGTTGGTTAAATGTTAGACTTAGAAAGATTTATTTGTCATTGTGTTTACACAAATGTAAAACAAAAAGAAATTTCGTTTAGAACAGCTCTCTGGACAATTTAATTTTTTTTAAAGTGCAGCCTTGAAAAATATATAAAAACAGTAATATAAACATGTGACTGTAAATTTACAGTTCTAACATTTCATTTTAAGACATTTTGTAAAAGCTTATGATTTTGTCAAACTATTCATGTGAAAATCTGTGAAAACGTGTGAGCCAGAATCACAAAAAACGTCTTTAAGAAATATTTAACAACTTTTAAGTAGTCCTGCTTTTTCAGTGCCAAGAACACAGTTAACAGATTTGCTTTTCTAGAGCCAGGAGGTCACCTAGCTGGCATTTGTATTGACTTACTTATTTTTTTCATTGTTGTTGCAAGCAACAACAAAAAAAAAGAAAAAAAAAGAAAACATTTTCTAAATGGAAATTTTAAAAAGAAACATGCAGAACAGTTAAAAAAAACATTGAAAAAAGTTATTATTTAAAAAAGGATTTGAAAGTAATTGCTGTTTTCTTTCTGTCTTATCTGATCAGAGAACATATTTGAACATTTATTTGTCTTATGGCAAACTGAAAATTTAATTGTTTGACTTTCTTCTGATAATTACTTTCTTCTTGATTATCTCTCAAAGTTGGATTTATAGACGGCACAAAAAATGCCATACCTGTCCTGCTAGCAGATTCTCCACCCTGAGCCGTGCATCTTTTTCAGCCCTCTTTTTCTTGAACTTTAGCCTGCTTTACTGGGAGATCTTCTTCTCAGGCCGGTTGTATTTATACTGAGATTAAATCAGACCCAGGTTCACTGTGGTTCCTGATTATTTGAAAGGTCATTGGTCGTAATTGTCAAAATTTTAACAGCTATACATGTGTCTCCTTCTACTGTTTGTGTAAAAGTTGAGAGATTTTCTGAGGTTAAAACACTTTTTTTTGCAATTTCTTTTCTTCATTTTTTAATGTTATTTTTTTCAAACCTTTTTTAGATTTGTATTTTAAAATTTTGTTTTCAACGTTTTTCTAACTCCAATCTTTTCAAATTGCATCGTCATATTATCATATATCATATCTTTACTCCAAACAAAATACAAATACTGTTGATTAATACAAACTTTACAGCTAAGTCCATGCAGACCAATAGAAACATGCCTTCACTCATCTCTGCATATAGGAAAGCCCAACTCCAGAAATCAAGAGAAGACTGCAATTTATAAAACTCAGTCTGAAAAAGAGAAACTTAAATAAATAAATAGAAAAAGATAAATATTAAAAATGACTAAAAATTATTATAAAAATTATAAAAATTTGGAGAAAACAAACATCAAAACTGATTTCAATAAGACCTTTTTCAAAGTTTCCTTTTTGGATTTCAATTTTGTATTTATTGTTTAAATTTACACAAAATGTTTTTTGCTTGCAACAATAATAACACAAAATTCACCCCAGGTAGTGTGTTGGATAAATGTTGAATTATAGTGATTTTCCAAATCTAGTAAAGTTAAAATATAATTGCTTAAACCTTAAAAATTCAAAAATGGAATATTGTGAATATTGAATCCATGGTTATTTAACACCATTTCAACAATTTAAAACTATCAATATTTCAGCAACATTTAAAAGTTTGAAGTTAGTCAAAGAACACACTATGATACACAAACTGCTTTAATTCTTTCTAAATGAGAAATTAAGCTTTGATTTAAAACTTTTATGAAACATCTTATGAAGGCTAATTTAACTTGAGTTTACAAACTATAATTATATTTTTGGTATTAAGGTAGTTGACTTGAATCTGCTTTTGTGGAAACTAATATTCCTTATTTACCTTCTTTTTGTAGCTGAAAATTTCTCAAATCCTTACTAAATACATAAAAAATTTTTTTAAAGTGACTGAACCTAGCAGTCATTCATCAATGATTTATAGCAATAACAGCAGTAGCAACCTAGCTAATAGTTATACATTGATTATAGCTACGGGGGTATTACTGTACCCTTCATATTTATTAGCTCTTCTCTAAGTAATAAATCCTAATCCTCAGTTTCCCCTAAGAATTAATACACTCTAACACAGATTATTTCTTTTAGCCAATCTTAAAAATAGGAAAAACACATAAGTACGCCATAGAACCGAGACAGATCTGTATTGATCCAGATGATTCAACAAGAGCATTTGTGAATGAGTCCCCTAAACTGGCCCATATCTGCGGTTTTAGCATTAAAAACTTGAGAGCAAATAGAACTGTGAGAAACGAGGCTGGAGAGGGACAGATCTTTACCAGGGATGTCAATAATTGTGGAGGATATTTTTTTTAAAGGCAAATAAAAGATTCCAATTGATCCAAAATTTGATAACCAAGGTCTCTGTCTTAGGGCCAAAAAACCACTGCTCTTATACATCAGTATATCTTTTCAGATGCAAATAAACTTTTATCCTGCGAGCCTAGAATAAGCTTTGCGATTATTTAAAAGGAAATCCCTACTTGAAAAAACTTGTATATCAAATATTTAACCTGCAATCGGAATAATTATTTCTCATTAGTACCTTTTGTCATCTGAAATTAACTCTTTTCTGTCTTTATTTGAATACTTTTAAGTTTAAATGCTTTTTAGTCACGTAGAACCATCCATCCATCCATCCATCCATCCATCCATCCATCCATCCATCCATCCATCCATCCATCCATCCATCCATCCATCCCAAATATACGGTATATGAAACAATTAGGCGTTGCACACTGAAAACTAAATATGCAATGATTAAAAACAATGGGCCTAATTAAACCTAAAACTTAAAATAGATTTAAAATGTATTTGTTTACAGTGGCCTTCGGCTGTACTATCTAAACATTATTAGTGAACTTTCCTATTTTAATATTTAAATTAATTCTCTTTAATAATTTGACACATTTGATATGACACTGTAAAGCAACATACTTTCCCCCCCTCATGTACTGCACTTTGAATTATCTTGCCACTGAAACATGCCATATAAATAAATTTGCTATGCCTTGCCTTAAAAAGAAAATATAGTGGATATTCATTAATCATTTAAATAAAACCTTTTTAGGAGGTTAAAGTCTAAAACACAGTTCGGTTTGAAAATATCCTTCTTGCTTTCTAAAGTTAAAATCCTTCCTTTTAACACCTATTTAAGTTGGCTGTTAAATCATAACTCTGCTTTCCATAAGAGAGCATGACAGGACAGAGCTCCACCTTTTCTCCAACAATACAGAAGCTGTTAAAAGGAAAGTCTTTCCCATGGCAATAGGAGGAATGTTTGCAGCCTCTTTGGCACAGCTCCTAAGGACTTCCGTTGGTTGTAATTCTATCCCAGGGTGCTGAAGATGGTTTTTAAGGCGCACAGCGTTAGAGGCTTATGACTACTCCAGTAAATGAGTTGAGTGTTTACAAGCTACCCCTGCTGAATCATAGTATTACGCAGCTGCTGTATGCAGCAGGAATATCCCATCGGCCAGACCACATAATTCCTAGAACTCCACCTATCCCAAAATAGAACCACTGCCATATCTAACCTCGTCTCAATCATCTAGCAGAGCCTGCAGCCTCGACACCCCCCACAGAGAACACATTTTGTGTGCATTTTAGTTCCAGGTATAAAGGATCCAGACAAACAACTGATACAGAACTGGGTTGCATCTAAGTGTTGAAGGAATAAAGTTGTGAGTGTTTTAGCATCTCCTAAAATTCAAATATCATTCCTAGATAGGATAGGTTTTAAAATAAGAAATTTCAGCTGATAAATTGGATTGGAGATGGCTCTGAACATAAACATTTATATGCTATTTCAATACAGAACCAGCAAACAGATTTAAATTAACATATGCTGGTGAAGATTGTGTCATCCAGGGTCAGAGTCATTCTAAAAAAGTTTAAAAACAATCCAGTGGTTTGTTTTTTTAAACTTTTTTTTTCAGTTAACATAGTTTTCAATTTCATCCCAAAAAAAAGGGAAAAGATAAACAGATCCATTAAAAATGAGATTCACATTTATTAGAGATGCAAAATTGAGATCAACCATTGAGGGAAGGTTGTCCTAGCATTGCATTACTGTCCTATCAAAAACAAAATATGGTAATTAAAGTGCAGATTATCTGCATACATATTCATCTAGACAAATGTTTCAACATATATATACAGATCTTAAACTTTTAAGTTAATAATAATACAAAAATAATAATAAATGGTAAGAAATGTAAATGGAACTTACTTTTTTAGATCAGCTGAAACCAAAATAAAATAATTGCCATGGAGGTTGAACATCAAACTTAATAATTTATCATTCAGTTCAGCCTGCTTTCCTATTGAAAAAGAGTCAAATGATAGGGGTTATAAGGGTCAAATTTCCCAATTCTGGTAAATATGAGCTTTCTGCGGGGGTCAACAGATAACCTAACCTATTCCAACTCTGTTTTACCAAACCTCAGCATTTCTCTGGCTTGCTACGTCTCAGCCATGAGGCATGAATGGAAGCTGATGCACCAGAGTGAAATCTTTTGTTGTTTAGACTCTTTCATAGAAAGAGAGGGATCAACCTCATTTAAATTGATCATATGGTTAATTCATTTGTTGTGTTTATTTTTGCAGGCCCAGCCGCAACTCTGCAAATTGCACTGAGGCCATTCCTCTGGCCTCAGTGGAAAAAAAGTCAAGCTTGTACAGGGGCTGTGTTTTTACATTGACTGGTTGCTTGGATGAACCCATCTCTATTGACTGCACAACTATTTATCACTGTGCACTAGAGAGTCAAAATTTAACTACCTTCAACTTTGACCTGGGCGCAGCAATGGCTCCAAACAGAACAGAAGAAAACCCCAGTTAATGAAAACAATGTCAAAAGTTCTACTGGAGTAATTTGTTATTTTTAATTACAGAAATGAAGGCATAGTTGAAGTATTGTATATAGCAGCTGAGAAACTCTACTGAGTCGACTGCATTTGGGAAACTGAAAAATAACTAAATGGGACCACAGGGTCGCATATATTACAGAGCGCACAATTAACTCTTAAAATCTTATCAAATCTTGACAAATTCACTGTTTGATCGTCAGTAAAAGCTTGATGCTGCTCTTTAAGATTGGGTATTTTTGCATTAGATTGTCCAGAGCTCCCTCTATACTTACTCTAACAGACAAAATCTTTTTTATCATCAGTGATTTTCTCTTGAGATGGGTTTTTGGTATCTTTTGTCATCCCCTGATTGGTCAATGTTGCACCACGCAGGGCAACAATGTCTTTTATGTTAAAGCCTTTGTTTGCAAGGACTGTATCTCGAGGTTGTCCAAGTAGCCACAGCTCTCTGCTAGCAGCCAAACAGATGTGCGGTCAGCCCATCCTTTGAAGATGAAATTAATGAAGCCCTGGGGTATCGCTGAAATTAAATATTCCATAGTATTGTGACTTTTGTGATGTGAACTGTTCATGGGTTTTGTATCAAGTTATGAAAAGTCTTTAGTCAACACCTCAGAACAGTCCATGATGGGCGTGCAGGTGGCACATTGGATAGCGCACATGACCTATGTACAGAAGCCTTAGTCCTCAACACAGCCGATCCGGGTTCGAGTTTGGCCTGGTCCTTCGCCGCATGTCTCTCCCCCTCTCACATACACTCTTTCCTGTAAGCCTACTGTCAAAGAAAAAGGGCCACTAGTGCCATAAAAATTTTAACAAAAAAAAACAAAACGTCCATGATAAAACCACAATCCGGAAATGTACCTTTAAATACTTCGGGCATCGTACTCCTTATCTGATCTCTTTCTGGCCAAAATACAGTAGCAGGAAATGATCTAACATTCAAAAAGGTGATCACATTGGAAAATGTTTTTGCAACTGTGTTTTAGTGAACTCTGAATACATACAATAGATACAGCAGACTAATGTTGAGTTTTAGCTTCATTAATGTAAACCACCATTTGTGGAACGGCAGTAAGGCTGAATTTGGTTTCTCCAGATAAGGCAAGATCAAAATAATGACAGACATCTGAACTGTGGATACCAGAGTGTCAATATCGTCTGAGCTTCCACACCCATTTCTTTAATTCCGTTCATATCTGACTGATCTCCCTCTTCCCTGTGCAGATCTGCTTGACCAACCTCTTCCTCACAGAAGTCTGTCTCCTCTGCTGTCAGGGTCGTCCCCGGCACCGCCAGATGCCCTGGTCACAGAGAGATCCAGCCGTGCAGATGCAGCAATTAAAATTTCAGTCTGAAATGAAACACCAGTGTTTGAACACTGTTTTAAACTCATAGCGATGCTTTGAAGACTTATTTTCTATTTCACACACCTGATGTGGTTTGGTGTGACTCACAGCATTTCTTCTTTAGGATCTCTTTTTGATGGCTGGGGTTTGCATAAACAGAGAGGTCACATAATTTGGAGGGAGAGGGTTGTTGCTTTTTGTCCTGTAGATGATGGTTAGAATCAAGCACATGTTAATGCATTAATGCATTTAAAAGTAGTTCTGCTATATTGCAAAGCCAAAGTTGTCAGTTTTGAGACTCGTGTCCCTCGGGTTGGGTTAAAACACACCACTTCACTAATGGATTACATCCATGGTTCATTCTATAAAGACTATTTCATTATCAATACAAAGTCAACTCTAATATTTATCAAATTTGGTAGGGAAAAAAAATGTTTAGATAATAAACCAAGGGGAACCAAAACTGAACAAGTGGTCAATGATATGTATGTGGAACTGTCAGCTTTGAGAGGGACAATAATTACTACATATATGTTCACACTCTTAAGCCTGTAGGTCTGTTCCGGGGTTCTGGAAAGGAGGTCTCCGAATCTCAGGAGGAGCAGTGGGGTTTTCGTCCTGGCCAAGGAACACTGGATCAGCTCTACACCCTCGGCAGGATTCTGGAGGGTGCATGGGAGTTTGCCCAACCAGTGTACATGTGTGTTGTGGATCTGGAGAAGGCATTCAACCATGCCCCTCGTGGGGGTCCTGTGGGGGGTGTTCCAAAAATATGGAGTACCGGAGTACCCTCAGTATTACCGATGTCAGCCTGGCCTGCATTGCCGGCAGTAAGTCAGAGTCGTTCCCGGTGAGAGTTGGACTCCACTAAGGTTGCCCTTTGCCAACGATTCTGTTTTCATTACTTTTATGGACAGAATTTCTAGGCGCAGCCAAGGTGTTGAGGGGATCCATTTTGGTGGCCTTAGGATCAAATCTCTGCTAATCGTTGATGACGTGGTTCTATTGGCTTCATCGGGGTATGATCTACAGCACTCACTGGAGCGGTTACCAGCCTGAATGTGAAGCGGCTGGCATGATGATCAGTGCCTTCAAATCCGAAACCATATTCTTGAGCCAAAAAAGGGCAGAATGCCTTCGCCAGGTTGCAGAGTATTTACGGTCCTTTCTTTTTCACAAATGAGGGGAGGATGGAGTGGGAGATCAACAGGCGGATGGGTGCTGTGAAGCGGGCCCTGTACCGTTCCATTGTGGTGAAGAGAGAGCTGAGCCAAAAGGCAAAGCTCTTGATTTACCGTTCGATCTATATTCCTACCCTCATCTTTGGGTCATGACTGAAAGAACGAAATCCTGGGTACAAGCTGTAAAAGTGAGTTTTCTCCTTTGTGTTTCTGGGCTCTCCTTTAGAGACAGGGTGAGGAGCTCAGTCATCCAGGGAGGACTCAGAGTAGAGTCGCTGCTCCTTCACGTCAAGGAGCCACTTGAGGTGGCTCGGGCATCTGGTTAGGGTGTCTGCTGGACACCTTCCTGGTGAGGTGTTCCGAGCATGTCCCCCCGGGATTAGAGGGAAACAAAGGACACGCTGGAGGGACTATGTTTCTCAGTTGGCCTGGGAACACCTTGGGATTTACCTGGAAGAGCTGGCCCAAGGGATGTCTGGGCCTCCCTACTGAAGCTGCTACACGACCTGACCCTGGATAAGGGGGAAAAGATGGATGGATGGATGGATGGATGGATGGATGAGTGGTACCATGAAGCTAATAATTAACTCACTGACTCAAGCCAGCTTTGAATGATCACGAATCTGTGAACCTGCACATATAAAGGAGCGAGTACAAGGTAGTAGACCAATGAGCGCAGTAATTTCCCACAAAATGAAACAAATTTCATATTCCATATATTGTATATTTTAGTTAAATCCCATTGTCTGACAAATTAAGAATACTTTATAAAATATTTTGGATGTACAATACCTTTGGGACCACTTAACAATTCTGAAACAAAGAAATCATCTACCGGTACTTATTTATTTTTTTCATGATTATCTAATCTCAAACCCCCCCGAACCCCATTGTCCTTTTCTGTCTTTCTGAGCTTTAACCATAACATTTTCAAAATGTTCTTTAAATCTGGAGCTCACAAACATGAAGCCAAATTAAAAAGGCAATAAACAGATGGGAAGGTGACACCTACTGCCAATATCTGATATCTAAACCAAATCAAATGAACTTAGATGATATCCACTTTTTCAATAGACAAAGAAAAATGCAGTAAATAAATGTATTTAAAGACACAAAAAAAAATTTGCAAATGCAGTTTTTATTATTTGTAAAGTGTATAACAAGAGGTTATGTACAGTGTTTTCATAAAGGCATCAAAAGGAATGCTTGCACTGAGAAAGACAACCACATGACAATCCTTTAACTTAAAAAAAAAACATCCATGCCTGGAGTGCACAAATAAAAAGCATTGCAGTTTGTGATAAATCAGTCACATTAGGAAAACCTGACAGCTGTGGCAAAATTCAAGGTTCTGCACTTAAAGTATTACAACAAACTAAACAACCCTAAAAGCTGCCTATTTCAACCGGTCTTGTCTGGAAGTGCTGCAGGTACATCATGTAAGAGCTTATACAACCTGTAGAGAGCCAAGCTGAGAGCTGACATTTCCAGCAAGTCACATCGACATTTTAAGACTCCAGGTAGAGAAAGAAAAGACATATCAAGCTGTTCTTTTGTTCAGTCTTATATAAACTGCTTCTAACTGCCCACTTAGGCGTTCTCGCCATCATACAGTCTCCATAATCACTGCCATCTCCTTGAATTGCTTGTGAAAATTCTTGAGGAAAAAGCAAAAAAAAAAAAAAAAGATTAAAAGAATGTAATATTATTTCATTTGAGTGAATATGGAACAAAATTACTGTCAGCTTACCTGGAACTGTGGAATAGTCATCTCAAAAGCCCTCTGTTGGATCTGTCCAGAAGGCTCTGCAATCTTCAGTAACAGCGACACGTAAGGCGAGTTAAGAGAGCGACATGTGTCCGAACTCACTGCCATCCCCAGCTTCCACTGCACGTCCACAAGCTACAGGATACACACCAGGTTAATGGGTTATCTGATTATCAGAACCTCTTTGAAGGAGTATTACCCCTTAGATAAAAGTGTTCCATAAATCGCCAAATTAAAGACTACAACCATTGAAATATTTCATTAGATTTTTTTTGAAAGACCAACACAAAGCAGAAAAGATTTATCTGTGGAAGGAAAGCGATGCCTGGACCTACAGACACAATCAGTTAGAGTTAAATAAAAATCCAGGTCAATCAACCGTTCAGAAGTCACCTGAATAACGCCCTGTGTGTGATCGCAGTATGAATCTACTTCTGCAAAGGCAACAAAGGTCTGTTTGAGAATATTAGTGAACAACAGCATTATGAAGACCAAGGTATTCATAGCACAGCAGAGCTCATGGAGAAAGATGTAGAAAAGTTTAGAGGGTTTATTCAAAAAATAAATAAATAAAACAGTATCCAAAGCTTTAAACCCATCAGTAACGCTCTGCCAGTCACTTGAAAATGGAAGTCATGGCAAAACTGCAAGCCTACCGAGACATGTCAACCATGACACCTTAACAGACCAGCTGGGTTAAGCATTAATAAAGCGTTAATCAGAGAAGGAGCAAATCAACAGAACCAGTAGAGGAGTTGTAAAGATCATCACTCAGGTGGGAGAATTTGTAGATATTGCAACTGTTATTTGCACATACACACATCTGGACATTATGTAAAAATAGCAAGAAAAAGACTGCAGAAAAAAAGAGTTTATATGTATGAAGGAAACTAACACTGTGCATTGCACCTGCATAATGTGTAGTGTGGTGGTGGCAGCATCATGCTGTGGGAAATGTATCGTGTTAATGGGGACTAGGGGTAGCTGCTGTGAGGTGATGGGAAGATAGATGGCGATAAAATCAATTCTGAAAGTATATCTGTTAAGACTGAAGCTTTTAGCAGGATGAAGGTAAACATAAAGAAGTACTCTCTTCTAATCAGACTGAGCTTGTGCTGTTTTATAAAGAATGGCCAAAAACATCAGTCTTTAGTTAAGCAGAGTAGTTTAAGACCAACTCCAAAGGTCTGAAAGCTTCAACTGCTCCTAAAAGCGAGTTTACAAAGTGCAAACACAGACATAAGCTTTATTTGTTAAAAAAACAAAAACAACAACATGTTATTTTGGTTGTATTTTGCATTAACACGCTAATTAATGTTCAAATTTGACATAAAAGCCAGAAAAGAAACCTTGAGGTTTGTGGTTGGAAGAAAAAAATATGTGAAACAAATGTTCTACAGCTTTGAGGCCTTTTGAAAAAGACTCTTTAGCTGGAAATGATGGCTTACCTGACCAATGCTGAGCACAGATTGTGCTTCTTGCTGAGCATGTACGGCGGCACCATGTTCACTCCACAGTGTTTGCAAGACCTGAAGAGAGGTTTTAGACCATTTGCTGCAGCTTTCCTCGAGTTTTGACACAAAGTCATCTGCAGAGAGGTTGTTCTTTCCAGCTGACCTAGAAAAAAAGATGTTGTTTCATCTGATATGATGATGCATTGCATGATAGGACAATTTCACTTTCTAAATAACATCATAAAATTAACTGCAAGTGTTTAGTCAGAATAAAAACAGGAATACTACTACCGGAATGTCAAGAGAAGAAATCTGATAATGCTCTGAACAGCTTCATGATGAAGACTCACTCCAGCCCTCTGAAATCTCTGTCCAGATGATAAACATAAAATGAAATTAAAAAAATTATTAGGAAAGGGGAGCTAAGGAAGAGAGGTTAGAAAAAAAATGGACTCACATGAGAAATTTCAGCAGAATCTACCCCACTGGTTTGCCCTTGAAGATAAGCCAGAATGTGCTGAGACTGTGAAGATTAAAGACAAGTTATCAGAGGAGCAGTTAAACCTCAAACGTTCCAAAGCCACATCCTGACTAAATGCTGCAGAGAGTAGCTGATCTAAGAAAAAATTTATCAACATGTCTCAAGCCTGTTGATATCTAACCGTTATCAAGGCAAACCAGCGCATGATGCAGCAAATCTTCCAGACGTTTTTAGAGAGTCACTTTTAATTTCTGCTTTTGGAAGCAATGTGTTTGCTAATGGATGTTAATTATATGTGGAAGAAATGAAAGCAGGCATGCTTTATCATTTCCCACACTGAAATGCAAAACTTTTTACGATGGTCCTTAATGTTACTCACTGTTTCGGTTAAGAGATCCGGAGGCAGCCTGCAGATTTTGTCTGCAACATTCTTGATGCCTTTAAAAAAAAAAAAAAAAAAAATGCCTTTAAAAAAAAAAAAAAAAAAAGAGAAAAACAGTGTTCAAAGCAAGTCCCACCCACTTTCTGGACTGAGTTAAAAGAAAAAAAAAAAAATCCATGTAACTGCAAGACTGCTTAAATTACTAGAGAATGACCCATACATCAACTGGCCAATATTTTAGGTCAATATTTGTCATTTTTCCAGCATCTGTTTCGGCTGATATGTGCATGCATTGGCCGATTCATTGGTGCATTCAGCAACCATGCCTTGAGGTTACGTGAAGGGCATGCATTGCCACTTCCTTCCATTAGCTATCAATTGTTACTTTTTGTTTGATTAGTTTGATTGTTGTATAAATTGAGATTAATATTTGCTATCATTCTGTCATTTCTATCTTGTATTCAGAGGAGAAAAAAAATACCATATTTTTCTCTAAGAATCGACCCAGTATCGCTGTTAAAAACCAGCATTCTCTGTATCCCTAACCCCAACTATGACGGACCTGTGCTCCAATTTAAAACTGCAACCGCTGTTTCTACAATCAATCTACGTTCTTTTGAGAAAACAGGAATAAATTGTGTGGCTGCACGGTGGTGCAGTTTGTAGCACTATTGCCTTATAGCAAGAGGGTCCTGGTTTTGATTTGAAACCCTTGGGTCATCTGTCTGCATGAGGTTTGCAGGTGCGTGGGTAGAAAGGTACAGGGGGCTGAATAATATGGCCAAAACAACTCGGCAGGGTTAATTTTGGTTGATAGGATATAGTTTCAATAATAAATCTCACAAAATCATACTTAATAAATTAGAATACATGTAAGTTAATGTGTCCATTTAGAATTCAAACATTTTTGTAACACATTTCAGAAAGGGAAATTTATGTATATCAATGACACATTTATTAAAATGTTTATTTGGTTCAAGCGATTTTAGAAGATTATTGCTAACAGATAACGAAAACCCCAAAGTCAGTGTTTCATGATCTAAGATTACACAAGATCAACATAGAGGCCATATCCCACAGAAATATCTGGCCTCTAAAAAGATGCATAGTTAATGTATATAATAAAGGAGTTATTATTATGTGTGATAAAAATATAGATTTTTTTTTTACAATATCATAATATTTAGAGATGTACCTGTGTAAATATATATTTGTCTTGATTTTCTTTTTGTCTGGTAAAGTGCTTTAAGATGACATTTGTTGTAGATAAAAAACATTCAGAGACAGAACGTGGTCTTTTTTCAGTACAATATGACAGATCATGTACGAGCTCCTTCAGCAATGGACTGCTGCACCCTAAATGCACCAGGGAGCGTAATCACAGATCCTTCCTTCCAGCAGCTGGAAGACTTTATAACCACCACTGTTCCCAACAACCTCAATAAGTTGTTACATGCATGCTGATTTTGCACAGTTTCTATCTTAGTCAGTTGATTAACATGCTGCTGTCATTTTGCACATGTCTGATGTTGCTGCTGTTTTCAAATGTCCATTACTGTAAAAATGTCCATAGCTGGATATTGGTTATGTATTCTCCAGGTGCACAGCTTTATATTGTTAAACACTTTACAGTACAGTATTTTTTTAACTCTTCACTATTATGTTATTCTTATAAAATTTTCTAAGGTCCACATTCGTGTGACAATTTTTTTTCTATAATCTTTATGCTGCTGTAAACACCAGAATGTCCCCATTGTGGGACAATAAAGGGATTTTCTATTCTATTCTATGACCCGTAGCTGGAATCAATAGAAAAAGAAAATATCCGAGTGATCAAATAAATCGAGTTTTGCTCTTTAATGCTGAAAGCTTGTTGAAATAATGTAAAGGGAGATCTTTATTTCACAGGTTTATCTTGTTTCTGTCTTCAGACATTCTGATCTGGTCCGATCCGTTAAAAACTCACCGTAGGATTCCTCTGAAGATGGCATCTTCGTTAACAGGCAAATGGACGATTTTGCTTCTATGATTTATTCTTAATAACTCTTTTTATTTTACCTAGTTATTTTTATCTGTAACTTTTAACAAAGCGTCATTCTTCTGTGTACAACTGCTTCCTTAGTTTTCTTCTTCTTTCTTGGTTTGTGGCACTCTGGGCACATTTGGTGCACTGCTGCCCCCTTCAGGTCATAGAAAATAAAACACTTATCTAAACTAGTAGTTTTTCCGGGTGTATATCATATTAAACAAAAATAAATAAATAATTCACAAACACAGATTTCTAAAACAAGCACCATGTTTTTAGACATGTTTTATTCAGAATTCATGTTTTATCTGAAATCTCGTTAAAATATTAAAAAAATATGAAGACCTGTGTAAAATGTTGATAGAACTTCCCACTAATGGACATGAATTCTGGAGCATACAGCCCCCCCATTTTTGAGCATTTCCCCCCTTTATTTTCTTTAAATGGTGTTGACTTGATATTCTTCTTCTCTCTATTCTACTTCTGAATTGCTGTTAAGTGCCATATTTATTTGTACATACATTGGCATAGTATAAATTATATATATCCAACAAAATTAAAAGCTACATAGCACCAGCTGCTGTGCAGGATGCTCTGTAATTTCAATTAGAGTGGCTTTTTTTATCAAAAAAAATTCGTCACTTCAGAATGTATTACATTTTTACTCTCTTTAAACTTAGTATTAGAATTTGTTACACAAGGCGAAACTTTCTATTTGCGGTGTCTTTTTAATTCTGATTATTAGAGCTTAAATTGTATGATAATTCACATTTTTGTCAATTAGGAAATTTAAAAAATGCCAATATTATCTTAACATTCACACAATCTTAGGTGGGCCCGGCTGCCCAGACAGCACCAGGACCATCAAAAAAAGTGCAGACCAAAAAAGTAAAAAAAAACATATTCGTTCAAATAAGCTGGTAGAGTTTAGAGCTGGTAGAGCTGGTACAAGCACTCTAGAAAGATAAGTGGAAGGAAAATGTGATAGCAGCCAAATAAAGGACAGATTTTTGCAAGAAAAAGCGTGAAAAGATCAGGAATTTAAAAAAAAATGACATAATCCGGGTTTAACCTCTTGTAAAAAAAAATGTTTTGTTCTATAGAACTACGCCTAAAATAAAAGATAATTAGAAGACAACAACAGTATTTTTGGTTTGTAGTTGCCACTTTCAATATGGCGGCAATATTGACGTACAATGCCAGTGCGCTCATATTTAGCGCTCTCGTGTGGTGGGAAATGAGTTCCAGCTACACACAAAATGCTTCCCAATCCACTATATAACTTTGTTTTTTTGTTTGTTTTTTTCCAGATAAGTAAAAAATAAATAAATAAATAAATAAATAAAAAATAAAAAAGGCGACCAATATATCACAAAACAAATAGTTAATAATTAAGTTATTAATCTATGACGACGGAAAATATGAGCAACGCCCAATATTTTGGAACGATCCATTGTAAAACTCATAAAGGGGTGTTACGAAAAACAACTCGTTATTTTTCTAAAAATGGAAGCAATGGAGGTATATTAAAATGCAAAATATTAAATAAAAATATTAAAAATCATGAAAATTACCTTTAAATACATAGACCGCCGCGATGTATGGGTTTCTAGAAAGTTTTTAGGAATTATTCACTCCCCTGTGTCGCCACCAGGTCAACGTCTACTGATTGGACACACGGAAGCGAATCCCAGCTGTCAAACAGATCGTAGTAAATCAGACCTAACGCCGTTAGCAGCAACATATCAAACGACACATAACATGGACTCTCCACGCTGGTTGCCCCTGGAGTCTAATCCAGAAGTTTGTACCATTTCCCTTTTTTTAAAATAATCTACAAGCTTTTATTCGGTCCATTCATTCTGAAGCATGTGAGAACTAGCTACTGTGGTGGCTAGCTACAAGAACAAAAGCTGAACTCTGTGTGGGAGCTTTGCTAATAAGCAACGTTTCATTAATTTCCTCTTTTTCTCTCTTTGTTTGTTTTATTTCAGGTCATGACCAAGGTAGGTGCATTTGTTTTAGGTACATTTACCCGTAGTTGTGAGACTAAATAGTTGTAAGTAGTGTTAAAATGTGCAAGGCCCACGTTGTAGTGATGTTACACTCACAGCAATGTCGTAAAACAATAAAAGATTATAGTTGCACGTTAAAGACGCTGATCACAGGTTAATGGGAATTTAAAAGAGGAGAAATGGTGCACAGTCCTGGGGAAAAGCTGTTTAAATTAATTTAGTTGTTTTATTATTATTATTTTTCCTCTATAGTCGACACCTAGATCAGTATTTACATTTAAAGTTATTCTGACAACAGTAAGTGATCAGTCAGATAGTTGGTTTGATTTTTGTTGGAGCTAGGCTAGGGTTTTTTGCTTTCAGCCAGATTATGTCAGCATATCTTATATTGCATGCCCAGTTTACTCTGTGTATTTGTAGTTTGTCAGCTGTTTGGGTATGAAGCCATCATGGCAGTTCGGGGATGTCTACGGGTTGGATCCTGAGCTTCTCAGCATGGTACCAAGACCTGTGTGTGCAGTGCTTCTCCTCTTCCCTGTAACAGAGAAGGTATGTAGTATATGTTACCACTCAGCAAACACACAGAATTTATTAGCACTCTTTGACTTTCAGGTGTTTGTTTTATGTGGTCTAAAAACACACCATCCTGGCTGAAGTATAAATGTCTGTTTCTTTTTTTTTCTGCTGCTTTCATTCAGTATGAGGCGTATAAGCAAGAAGAGGAGGAGAGGCTGAAAGGCCAAGGGCACAAAGTATCCCCTGATGTCTACTTTATTAAGCAAACTATTGGGAACGCCTGTGGGACGATCGGATTAATTCATGCAGTTGCAAACAAC